GCATCTCCAGGGATGGGGCAACAGCCACATCTGTGGACAACCTGTTCGTTGTTGGTTGTTCTTTTGCTACTCTTAAAAACTGCTTGTATACCTCTGTAAATCTGATAGAGAGCTGCAAATCTGGTAGACTCCTTTCCTCAAAAAATGGCTCCTTCCAAGAGTCTTGGGGTGAGATGAGGCTTTAAATGAAAAAACGCAAGCTTTGTTAGCATCAAGATGTTACGTGGAGGTGCTTCCCTTGAATCTGCAAGCATGCATTCACTTCATCTGAGAAGCTGGAGGTCAGCTATGCCACACAGGTTGTTCTGTGCATTTTGCCGTGAGTTTTTTAGGCCAGCAGCTGTGTCTTCTGGGCATTTTCAGCACCTCAAAGAATATCAAGTTTGATATGGTAAAAGGGAACTGTTTCATTGTAATATCAAATGTGTTAACAGACCGTATTCCTAAGTCACTTATGTTTATGGATAAAATGTAAGGTTGGTCTGTGTTGTATTAAATATACATTGCTAGTAACATAATATTTTTTTGAAGCTAAATGTCATACTTTTTTTTTGTTAGTTTTGTTTTGTTTGCATACCTTAAAGGTGGTTTGGTTAAACCCCAGTTCTCATTACATAAAATATCACGTGATATCAGATTAAGCCTGAGACGGTTTTACACTCCAAAGGACACTTTTAAAATCTATCTTAAAAAAGTTGCTCAGAATATCTTTAAATACAGCGTGCTTCTTGGCACTGTTTCTTAGACGTTTGCCTGACTATTACATCTCAGGGCATAATTATGTGCGGAGCGCCAGCCAGTCTGTCCCCGCAGTCTCAATTCCAGCAGTCTCATTTTTTGCTGTAGAACGTGTATTTTTTGGAAATTCAGTTCCATGGTTCTAAACGATGAGTGCCATGGATGGAGAGAGGTGCTTCTGTGGAAGCCAGATGCGAGCTACAGCTCCCACCAGCTGCCCACGCCAGGCTTTGGGCAGTGTCTGCAGACCTGCCAATGCATGCAGTGTTCAGGGCCAGGTTGTATGGAGCAGCTGTGCCCAAAAGGGAACGGGAGCCTGCAGAAGGCTGTGACAGCCCCAGGGCTGATGGTGGAGCACACTTCAGCTGAGCTGCTGTCTTGCACGTGTTCAGAGAAGCCTGCAAATAAGTATGTCTTGAATTCTGCAGTGCCTACACAGCTTCCTGTACTTGACTAATTTATTGGAAGCTAGTTTGGGTATGTCTGTGCTATACAGAGGCTTGCAGTGTAAATATAGCCCAGTTTTGGTTCATTTAGTCCTTTTTTTTCTCTGGCATTTGGCATTTGTTGTACTTTGCTACCACTTAATCCCACTGTATTGACAGTGAGCCGCTTTCCTTCTATTACTGTAAAAATGACAGTTAAAACAGGAGGAAAATCCTTGCTATGTTGATCAGTTATTTTAAAGGAAGAACAATATTTCTTATTGTTCTTCCAATGGCTGATTTGGAAGGAAAAAGAAAAAACAAAACAAACATATTTGTTAGTGAACTCTCTGTGCATACAGAAGTGCCCTCTACTGTGAAACAGATTCTGCCAAGCTGCACGAGTCTGCAGATATTTTAACCAGCAGATGCAGGACTAAGTCCTTCAGGTGGAAGTAATTTAGAGAAATAACTTGGCTTCCATCAGCTGTTCCAAGAGGAATCTTTCCAGCTTGTGATGGTGAGAGTGTCTTTAGTTACCTTTTGGTAAATGTACAGGTCCTGGTGAACGCTGTGTTGAGCTTGTCTCTATACACAGAGTCAGCGAGATTGGTTTCAGGATTGCTTAAGACCAGAATTGTTGTTACAGGTTTATGTATATTAACGGTCTCTAGCAAAAGCAGTTGTATTTTTTGTCCTAATAGAATAGTTGTATGCAAGATTGGTCTAAACAAATTCAGGATGGCTCCTCTGCACGTTCCCTTTCATCTCTGCTTTTATTTTGTTTATGTGACAGGAGTGGGGCTCGTAATATCAGGAATGCTGGTGGATTTTGTAATGTTTGAAAGAAAATTCAGGAAGTCTTCCAAGAAGCTTGAAACCAAAATTATGTTATCCCTGTGTGCTTTTCCTCTGAAGGTCGTTAATTTTGTCACACAGCTGTGCAAAGCTATGTGTTCCTTTCCATTTAATAAAATAAAAAAAAAAATTAGGAAAGTATCTTGTTCACTTTTTCATTTTATTATTGAAATTCACCCTGGATATTGGATATTTTTTCTTGGGTTTCACTTATTTAATCATTGAAAGTTTTCTGTGCTGATCTGTATGTGACATAGGAACATAGAAGAATTGTTAGAGGCAGGAATGGCAACAGGAAGGTTGAAGTAAATGTCTCAGCAGAAGGCTGAGAGGAGGTTCAGCAGAGAAGCCTTATCAAAAAGCAGGATTTTCTCCAGCAAATTCTCTGCAAAGTGGCCCAGATGGAGAGAGAGGGAGCAGCTTTCTTCCATGGCTTCTCAGGAAGACTGCTGTACAGACGGTGAGGGTGTGTGAAGCATTCAGAGGTCTGACGGTAGTGCTTCATAGCCACAGGGATGATTCTCCAGCCTGTGAGGTAACAGCAGCTGGATTTTATCTGAAATTGCCAAAGCAGAGCTATGCAGAGATGCCCAACATAGTGCTTGTGCAGTAAGTTGTTGGATGCAAATGGTTTGTACTCGATAAAGTCCAGTGCTTATGGGATGCATGTGACTGAGCCTACACCAACTAGGTGGGTTGGTGGTGGATGCACTGTGTACCCTCTGAAGCCTTCCAGAAGTGTCGGACCAGCACAGAGGTATTCACTGATGATGCACCATTTGTGGAATGGCCTGTGCAGCACAAATGTTTTTGGACTCACTGCGTGTACTTGCTGCTGTTGATTGATGTGCACGTGTACAATATATAGGGCACGTGTCTGGGACGCTTGGCTGTACAGCGGCAGTTGACAGAGCTGCTGTTCTTTTGGAAATAGAGGACAAGTGAAATCTGGGAAACATATTGGAGAGAACTCAGACACATGGCAGCCTTATGCAGGATCCTTTTACTTTGGTTACAGCTGCAGGAAACAAAAAGCCAACATAGAGACTGTCAGGTTATGGTGCTGGCAGCATTGTGGTGCTCGTGTGGTGTTTGCTGGTTAGGAGCCAGCAAGAAGAAAAGGCCTCAGAGAAGGGAATGGGATTTGAGAATGCTTCTCAAAATTTCATGGGGAAAGAAAAATTCAGTTACAGCCAGTAATTACCACAGTGGATGGATGCGTTTGTTCCCCAGTACGCTCCCAAGATTTATGGATTCTAGATTTGCAGACCTGGTTCCTCATAGTCGCTGCTGTAAGTTGTGTAATCCTCCTTCCGTCTTTGGCACATCAGTCTCTGTTCTGAAGTATAAGCAGATTAAAAGCATATTGGTCCTTCTAGTGTTCTTGAAATAGGGCTTTTAGCCTTTTTCTTAGTGCGTGTGTGTCTTAAAATAGACCTCAGTTAAAGCCTACTCCTGTTCCCACAGCTTTCCAGCAGAAAACAGATAATAATGCAGCACAAAGGTCTGTGTGTGCAGCAGGTTGTACAAGCATGACAATAAAACCTACTGCTGCTTGTTCAACAAGGTGTTCTCCCTTTCATCTACACTGGTGCTTTCAAAGCAACCTGTTATCTGGTCCACTGCATGATACTGTGGCGTGCTGAGTGCCATCTGGAGATAGTGGGAACTTCAGGTGTGGTGCAAAACAAGACAACAAGGAACAGGTTGTAGAGATGAGGGCAGCAGGGTCTCTTTGAACACAGGCACAGTTGTACACCACTTTATCGTGGGCTTTTGGATACAACTTGATAAGCACCATTTGCAGAGACAACGGGAAGAAGATGGTGCTGCAGGAGCAGACGGTTCTGATGGTGCAGTAGCAGCTGTAAAGCAGGAGCAGAATCTCACCCACAAGGCTTAGCTTGCAGCTTTGTTGTCTTGCATTGCTTTAGGGTTGTGTATGTTAGGTTGAATCTGCTGTTGGCTCCAGACGGTAGTTTTATGATGATGATTCAGCATTAGTCTTTCCTTATAAAGTAAAGCAGTTTGCTTCATGCCTTTTTCCTCAGAAATCCAGCAGTTATTGTAAATAATTGGATTTAGCTGTTTCCTACCAGTTGGTTTCATAGCTATATATTACTCAAAACAAGTTATTTTCTAATTAGCACCATAGAGGATTGCCTTTAAATGCTTTGTTGAGCAGCTTTTTTTACTTCCACCTCTCCTTTTTTCCATGTCTTTCCCTCACCTTAATCTTTCTGTACTCTACTCCAGCGGCCAGGCATTTCCTCTGCTCCTTTGCTGATTCATTGCTCTTAGCATGAAGCACTCCATTTGTGCTTGGGAGGAAGGGAAAAATTACAGTCTCCTTCACACACACTCTTTCCTTGCTTTCCATCTCAATTTCATCTATCGTTATGATTTGCATTTCTTATTTACATTCAGTAGCTCAGTCTTTTTCTCCACATTAATCTCTTTAATTTGTTCCCTTGTGATTATGCTGGTTCACCTCTATTGCTTCCTTACACTGGGGAAGGAAGCTGAAGGGCTGCAGTTAGCAGGAGCCAGGGGAGGATCACTCTGCCTGCTGCAATGTCCCAGCATTAAGTATGGAGATGGTCCACTTGAACGCTTACCTCTGTGCTTCTTGGAGCAGTGCAACATTTCAGTCAGCCTAGAGTAACCATGGTGTTTAATTATTCTTGAAATGATGAGGGGATGATATTTAGTGATAGGATTAGACCACTGTTCTTCATTTCAAGGGATGCATCTGTTTGACTGTTTTTTGTGACTGTTCTTACTCATGAGTTGAAGTTTGTATTTCTAGTGCTAAGACTGGCAGTTACAGCAGCATTTACTGCAAGTGGCTACATGGGTTAACGCCTTCCACCTTTTATATTTTAAAGCACAGTTACTTCTTAGTTTTTGTGGAAATGATGCGTCTGTTCAGGATGAAGCTACTTAAAAGTGTAATTTTTGTTTTCTTTGCAATTCTAGGAATGCTTTAAGGGAAGCTGGGCTACTCACAAGTTATTACACAAGAAAGCAAGTAAGTTTTCTACCCATATTAAAATTCTGTTATGAATGTGCATAATGAAATCCTTTTGGTGCATTTGCTCCCCTTTCCCCCAGTAGTGTATCATTGTTTTGGTTAATATAGTTTAAAAGTAAAGTGTGGGAGATGGGGAGTATATTGGTGATTAAGTCGTATAGTGCAGTTTGCTTTGTGTCATTCCACACGTAAGTGTGCAGCTACACCTGGAGTATCTGACTCAGTTTTGGGCTTCCCAGTACATGAGAGACTTGGCTACACTGGTGAGAGTCTGGCTAATAGCCACGATGGTGATGAAGGAACTGGAGCCTCTTACTTATGACGAGAGGCTGACGGAGCTGGGGCTGTTCAGCATACAGAAGGCTCAAATGTCATCAATGTGTATGAATACCTAGGGAGAGAGTGCAAACAGGACAGAGCCACACTCTTTTCAGTGGTGCCCAGTGCTGGGACAAGAGGCTGTGGGCACAAACCAGAACACAAGAGATTCCATCTACACACCAGGCAGCACTTCTGTGCTTTGCAGGTGATGGAGCACTGGCACAAGTTGCCCAGAGGCTGTGGAGTTTCCTCCTTGGTGATGTGTAAAAGCCACCTCGATGTGGTCCTGGGCACCCTGCTCTGGGTGGCCCTTCTGGAGGAGGGGCTGGAGCAGATGGACCCAGAAATGTCAACCTCAACCATTCTGTGATCCTTTGTCAAAGAATGGTATGGGCTTTTCAAAGATGCCCAGCACTAGATAGCTGAAATCCCATTGTTCCTAGTAATGTACGCGTTAGACAAATTTCAGTAAAATTGTAGAATTTCAGACTGTGGTACACAAATCTCTTCCTGTTCCTTTTTTTTTTTTTTTTTTTTCCTGAAATAATCCTTTATCTGAACTGCTAGGTATATGAAGTGAGAAAGAGATCTGAAATAGAGGGCAGGGAGAATAATAAATCATACGTCATTGCCAGGATTGTACCGTCAATGGCATTTTGATTCTTGATGTAGAAAAAAAGCAGTCAGGTGAGAACCGTTTTGGGAAGCTTTTGTGATTCAGCAGTTGCTGAAATGCAAGTCAGTCAGAGTGCAGCTGTTCTGTACATTTCCCACTTTGGGGGGAAAAAAAAAAACTGGCAAAAATGTCATTGTGCACTAATGCAGCTATTGACAGGGGGATACATTGTAGATAGGATTTTGCCCAGCTTAGCTGAAGGTGATAGAGATATCTGTATGTCTTAGTTATGGCTCACAGATCTGGTACGGAAGCATTGGTAGATTCCCCTTATCTGGGGAACTAAAATATCTTAACTAGCCCCTAAAGAGAGAAAGCAGACCTCAGTTCTGCACCTGCCTTCCTCAACCCAGCCATCAAGCCTAACTTAAAAGGGAGTTGAGATTATAAAATGGTATGGCAGAAAGCCAAAACCTCATGTCACTTACCTCCTCCTCTCCTAAACCTTTCAAAAAACCTCTCCAAAAAACCTTTTTTTTTCAATCCATGATAAGTTACAATAGCTGGAAATAGAACAGACAGTTACAAATGATTTCTCTCTTTCTGCATTCTCAGAGTTCTCATAGTTCACACATGCATTCTATATCCTTTTTGTACCTGCAGGAATAGAAAATTGCCTTTGTGGTCAGTGTAATTAATATAGATATGGAAATCCTCTGGTGTGTTCCCCTAATGCTGTTTATCTGACAGTAACTTTTTGATCATATCACTAAATCCATGATCTTGCTGGCTTCCGGGATAACTGAGTCCAGTATGAGTGGGCTTGGTTCTGGTAGCCCTCAAATCCTTGATGCTGGAAACTGCTGAAGCATCTCAAAGGAATCTGGAATATGGCTTAATTATAACTTTTTTTTTTTTTTTTAATAAGTTATTATTTCTCAGTGGTTCATCTAAACTAATGTTACGTGGGCAGATGGCTCAGATGTCAACCATAGGGACCGAGAAACTCGTTTTAAGGTGTGCTTTAGAACTCTTGCCATTTCTTCATTCTTGTGAGATGTGAAAAGGGAAAACAAACTTAACCTACCAGGTTATGAGTTAACAACGAATGCTGCCAGATCTGTGTACGTCTGGGTTGCACTTGGGACCCCAGAGCTTTTATTCTCGGTAGAAATTATCTTGCTGCTAAAATTTATTATTTCTTTATTTTGTCTTTTCAGAAGATGAAAAAGCTAAACGTGAAGTATCCTCTTGGACCCTGGAAGGTGACATCAACACAAATCCCTGGTCTGGTTATCGATATACTGGCAAACTCAGGCCGCATTATCCTCTGGTAAGTAATAAGTTCCACTGTACTCCAACACTGGTGGAAAAAGCACATGTTATATTCTGCAGTAACTTATGGACCAGATGTCCTGTCCCTATCGCTTTCCATGTTTTGGCTGAAGGAGGAAAGTTTCTTTTACAGTCCTGACTTTATGGTGAAGATGTGTGGGACTGTGCCATTATTGTGCGGTTTATTTTGTTTTAACTTGATGTCTTGGTATATTTAAAAGGAAGGAAAAGCCTATGAGGGAGCATGCATCAGACATAGATTTCAGTTCATGCTTTTTCTCCATATATTCTGAGATTTATTCTGCAAAATGCTGCTGCTAATTAAGAATTAAGATGTCATCTTCTAGCTGTTTGCTGCTCTTAACAGTAATGGAGCAGTCCGCTTCAGAAAAATTCAAGATTAATTTAGAATTTAAATAAGTAGCTTGATATAATTGTATGTAAATGGTTTGAAAAAAATTAGTGAATATACTGGTGAACAGCTCTGCTGTAGGAACAAAGGATATAGCACTAGAATGCTATATTATCCTGCCGTGAAGTAATGAAGGATAGCTGAACACTGTAACATCTTCAGCTGTCAAAAGTAGGCTGAGAAAACGACCTCAGTATAGCTGTGTTTTTAAGCTGGTAGAAATTTGTATGTGGAATAAGCCAAAATTTACAGAATTAATGACATTTCCTTTACAGGTGTCTTTTCTAATTGTCATATACTAGAAATCTTTCCTCTGTGGCATCCTCTCCATAGTATCTATTACAAGAACAGATTGACAGTGCCTGAGCATGTGTGTGTTAGTCATTGGAGAAAGGATTTTGCAGTGTAGGTTTCTCCTTTTGTTACTGTTAGATGTATTCTTGCAATTTAACCATCTTTGTATATGATTTATTTAGACACCAACAAGACCTGTGCCAAGTTATATTCAGAGACCAGATTATGCTGATCACCCACTAGGTAACCTGAAACAATTCACAGTTATGGAGCACTGTATTTGCTTTTTCCTTTCTTTGACTGAGGAAACATTTAAGGCATGAATTTAAAGCATGGATGTGCTGGAAACGGGAATCTTTGTATATATTATTTTCACTTTACTTTGTCTGCCTCCCCCCCCCATTTAACTTAACAATATAAAAGCATGAAACTAAAAGTAGTTACAGTGTTGTATTTTATTTCATTGTGCTTTTCAGGATCAAAGTTTGTAATGAGTTATATTTCAGAGGTTATATTTCAGAAGAAAAGGCAAAAACATGCAAATTATATTCCTCTGGTTAAGTTCATAACAAGTAGCAAACATAGCAGAAGTTGCTTGACACAGACGAACTTTAAGCCATTCTCAATGATGTGTTGGAAATGAGTTAAAACACCAACATAGAAAACTCTAGTAAGCAGCACCTGTAAGAGAACTATTAAATGACTTCTTTCTGTCTTTAGATGCAGAAAGGATAGATGCAAAATTACTTGTTTATTTTCCACTTTTTTCTGTGGCTTTGGACTTCTATTTCCCTAAAAGCTGCTTAGAAGTCTGTTGGAATTATTTCTATATTTTCAATGAGTCTTTAATTATTCTTTACAGAATGTAAGTACTTAAACAGCACAAAATGCTGTTTGTTGGAGGTCATTCATCTAATAAAACTGAGCTTGCACATAATCTGTTAGGAAAAACTTTGATGTATTTGTCGGTTGGATATTGCAGTAGTTTAATTAGAGACAGTTACAAGTGTATATAATCCTTTAATGGCTATTTTAGATTATTATTTATTTCCAAAGTAGCTTAAAAATACTTTTATATGAATAAAATACTTCCCTTAAAATTATGATCTTAAAGTTGTGTTTTGAGAACATTTTGACTGGCTGGACAAATTGTATGCAGGAAGTAAACGGGCATTCTGAGCATGTTTGAGTGTTACAATGTTGAGGAAGGCTTACAAGTTCAAATTAATCTGGCTAATGATAATAATGCTATGACTGGTGTGTTTGTTACTTTAGCCTGTGGTGAGAAAGTGCATGTTTTTATTGCTGTTGGTGAGCTAATTAACTTTCTTGATTGGTCACGTGTAGCAATAATTCCTCCATATAATGTTTTTTGTTTGTTTACCTCCTCTTTTTTTCTTTTTCATTTCCCCCAGGAATGTCTGAATCAGAGCAAGCTTTAAAAGGAACCTCTCAAATAAAAATACTGTCACCTGAGGATATAGAAGGGATGCGAGTAGTGTGTAGGGTAAGGAGGTCTTGATTTTTATTACAAAATGCTTTTATTCTTTAAAAACATACAGTAAAATAAACAGTTAGTGACAACACATTTGAGAATACAGATTTCAAACTATGTTTGAGTTCCGAAAAATAGTTTGAGAAATCTTGTGTTTTATGTCTCTTCTCATAACTCCAACTTGCAGTGAATTATTTTGTAAACAGAAAGATTACTTTTATCCATTTTCTGGCATTGTCATTACTTGTGAGAAATACTTTGTGGCTGAAATGTTGTTACTGTTAAGGACATATTTTATAGCACAAATGTGATCAGTGTATTTTCTTCTCTTCCAGTTACTGCCAAGTTAAAACTAAAAAGCAAAATCAAAACAACACCCCATCACTAACAGTTTATTAAAAAGAGCTGTTCATAGAATCGTTTGAGTTGGATGGGACCTGACCAATTGTGATCAATTCCTTGTGCATACAATCAAACTTTGAAATATGTGTAGGTGGTCTGGTTTCTGTTTGTGGTATTTGAGGAAATTGTGATCCAGTGCTGTCTTGACATGGCCCTGGACCACCTGCTCTCAATGGCCCTCCTCATACAGAGAGGGCCAGATGATCTCCAGAGGTCCCTTCCCACTCCAGTAGTTCTGTGAAATCTAAATTGGGTTATTTTCAAATGGAGCATTTGCAATTGGAGTGTCTTCAAAATATTCTGAGTCCCTGAGGTGACTTAGTAATACAAGATGCAGAAATTCTGGAGTCCCAGTCTACCCAGCTTTCTTATCAGTCTCAGTGTAGCTGTCTGTAGAAAATGGGTTGGTAACTTTCCAAGGAGTAGCTCTGATCTCATTTTTAAGTCATTATTTTTTTGTTTACTCATTTGCAGCTTGCTCGAGAAGTATTGGATGTTGCTGCCATGATGGTGAAAGCAGGTGTAACTACTGAAGAAATTGATCATGCTGTCCATTTAGTAAGGTTATTTTATTGTTTTTTTCTGGTGTTTTCAATTGCTTTGTTCTCTGTCTTTATTTTGGAATTAGTGTTGCAGAGTTTTCATTGTTGTTGCATGAATTCTTCCTATATTTTGAACTATTTCCCACTCTGAAGATAGTAAGTAGTGCAGATGTTGCAGAGTAGTGCAGAGGTATGTTATATAGCACAATGGTAGTTTCAAAATAAGCCCCAGATTAGGAAATCCTGTGACTCTAAATCAGCATCTTAGATATTTCCAGCTTCAGACTCCCTCTGAGTTTCTTCACCTGTTTTCCTTGTTAACATCACACAGTTTTATTTCTTTTAAATCCTTTGAGCTCCACAGATACCACTGTATAAATCATATGATGATACATATTTAGGCCGTGGACTTTTATGCTCAGTGTTGTTAGTTAAGATGTACAGAGGAGAAAGTTTATTTATTTATGTTTGGGAGTCGGAACTGGGGAGCCTGAGATAGAATTGAAGCAGCTTAGGGTTTTAAAGTTGGGGGGGTAAAGAAGTGGTGCTCAGTCTTGTTTGGCTTCTTCAAAACTGTGAAAAATTTTAGACCTGGTACTTAAAAATAGTCATTGACAATGGCCGTTTTTCATTCAATTAAATATTTCCATGCTTTGTTCTACACCTGAAAGTTTCAGCATTCATAGTTGAACATAAAAAAATGAATGGAAGCAAAATGAAGACGGCTTTGCTGTCTTTCTGTTTAAAAGATGCAAAGCATAGCAGAATACCACAGTGCAACAAAAATGCTTGTAGAATCTTATTTTTAGGAGTCACAGTATTTCAAAATGTTCTTACTGGAAGGCAGTTGTTTATGATTTTATTTTGTACAAAATGTGCTAATGCAGAGTGTATTTTCTCAATTAGGCTTGTATTGCAAGGAATTGCTATCCTTCTCCTCTGAATTATTACAATTTCCCTAAGTCATGTTGTACATCAGTGAATGAAGTGATCTGTCACGGAATTCCTGACAGGAGGCCATTACAGGAGGGAGATATTGTTAATGGTAAGGGCTATGAGAATTAATTTTCTATTTCTGATCTTCAACACTTTCTACTTTCCAGTTAAGCCATTCAGTGAGGTGGAGTTTATCTAGCGGACAACACAATTGGAATAGCTTCTAAATAGAAGCTTTTGTTCTCATTTACTAGTTAACATCTCTGCATATTTAAATTAACGATGCTAGAACAATTTCAAAAGCACTTTAAGAGCTTTAAAATTCTTCTGCACTGATCTATTTGTAGCATTATTATAGTGCCTGAGTATTCCTGATACTGAATGTTTAAATTATTCTGTTCAAAAGAAAAAAGTTTTAAGCCATCTGGTATATTTTTTTCTTAGGAATGCTACTGGAAGGTTCTCATGTATTTAATGTTCACGATGAAACTTTACTTTTTTGGCTGGAAGTGATGGGTTTTGGCATTTCAATTTTTGCAAAAATGTGACTCGTTTTAAACTTGCATAGAAATAGCTGAAGTTAAAATACGACTTGGAACACGATTACATACCTACTTAAATATAATTTTGTCCTGTTAGTGCTGGAGTTGATTTTCAGGAAATATTTTAACCAGGTAAGTCACCATGGAGTTATGAGATTATCTTTCATGTTCTTATATTTTACGTAGAAAACCAATAATAAACTTTTCATGGCTGTGTTGCATAGATATTGGGTTTTATTTTTTCTTATATTGTTGACCAGAGAAATGCTATCTTATTGATTTAGTTCTGCAATAGCAAAGAATAAGTGCGAGAATTTATTCTGCTGGAATAGTTTACATCAGGAACTCTTGCGAAGCGTTCTTGTATCTTCACAATTACAATACTATATTGTATGTCGTTTTGTCCTTTTGATAATCAAGAGACAGAAATTCAGACATAACATTATTATGTGCTTGGTATTCTTTGCAGTGGATATTACTGTCTATCGTAATGGCTACCATGGAGATCTGAATGAGACATTTTATGTTGGAGAAGTTGATGAGGGTGCAAAGAGGCTTGTCCAAACGACATATGAGTGCCTAATGCAAGCCATTGATGCAGGTAAACCCTCATGCTGCAGCCTGAAGTTTCACAGTTTTGGCTCTCAAACACAAGTGCTCATATTTGACAGTACCTGGGAATGATTTCTGTTGCAGAACACAGAGGTGCTAGTGTGCATCTCTAGTGGATGACATCATTGATTATTTTTAATGATACACTTCCATATGTGGTTGTTGCAACGTTTTACTTTAAATGTGGATTTACGAGTGAAATGTAAGTGATGCTGAGGGGATCCACGTATGTTGATATTTACATAGAGACAACAGTATTGGACAATTACATGAATAAAACATCCTTAATCCGAGTTGTTCTACTTCTCTAATTTATATGGCACTGTAACATGAACCAGTAATGCAAAACATTGTTTGAAGACAAATACCACACCTCATTGCCCCAGCAAACTTAACTGTTTGGTGTTATACCCACTTACATACTTGGTGAATTAAGTGATCATAGTGGAGGGACGAAGCTGCTTACTAGAACAGGTGAGCACATGAAACCTGAATGTTACAGAGGTGATGTTAGCCTGAATGGTGTTAGGTGATTAGTTTCAGTGAAAGAAAGCTCTGTAAATTTGTATCTTTTAAATTTTGCAGTAAAACCTGGTGTTCGATATAGAGAACTGGGAAACATTATTCAGAAACACGCTCAAGCAAATGGATTCTCGGTTGTTCGGAGCTACTGTGGGCACGGAATCCATAAACTTTTCCATACAGCCCCTAATGTGCCACACTATGCCAGTGAGTATTCCTTTTGCACTGTGCTACAGACAGGACATGCTTTGCAATGAATGCACTCGATTGAGTTCCTGCTCTATTTTAATAAAGCAGCGTGTTGTCTAACAGTCATTACATTAGCATTTGTACACTTGTGAAATAATTTGTTTTTTGAACTTGGGATCATAAAATGTTTCATGAACCTAAGTGGATGTGTTACATACTCATTCTACGCAATGGCTAGGTAAGTTGTCAGCTTTTTTGTATCGTTTTCCGACAAATCCCTCAGATCAGTCCCTATCTGGCATGAGTAGGTAAGCATTTTCAGTCAGAGATCAAAGTGAAAACTTTATGCCATTTCCTGATGTATATAAAAGTAGAGTGGTTTTTGTTTTGTTTTTGTTTGTTTCTTGCGTGATGTAGACAGATGATGTGCCTAAATCTGGATCCTGTTTCAATTCCCTTTTCTCCATTTGAATGTTATGGTGTTGCTGGAAAGCATGCAGGGTGCAGAGGAAGAGAGATCCACCCCCCTCTCCCTTCCACCTCCTTGGTGTTCTCAGCTTTAGTTTTTGGAAATGGCCATGTCCCTATAACTTTGGCAGCAGGACTGAAGGGCAGCATCCACAGAGGCAATAGAGAGAAGCTTGAAGATGAGCGGGCAACTAAGGACTGGAAAAATACCACAAAGCAGCAATAAACAATTCACACCCACTTCAGCTGCATAACTCTCCTGATAGGGTCTTCATTTCCTCGGGTCTGATGGATGCCTCTATCCCCACTTATTCCAAAAGCTCTAGCAGAGGATGTACTTGTATCACGGCAGTCCAATATTTTGGCTTTCCTGGGCCACACTGAGTGAAAAGGAATTGTCTTGGGCAACGTATAAAATATATAACATAGCCAGTGTATATAGATAACAGAACTTCTTTTTTAATAAATATATATTTTTTTAATTAAAATATTTTTAACAGGCAACAAAAGTGTAAAACTACTGGGTTGGACACGTTGTAGATTATAATCACTTCTGTAAAATGATTTTTCAGGGAATAGAAAAAAACAGTTAATCATCAGGTAGAAGGGTATCAATTCCTAGTATTCAAATTTGGTGATGTATGATGAAGAGAATAGGCTGCCTGGAGGAGTTGTCAAGACCAAGATAGATGGGCCTTTGAGCAGCCTGGTCTGGTGGAAGGTGTTCCCTGCTTATGGAGGGTTGGATATGGGGATCTTTAAGGTCTCTTCCAACCCAAACTGTTCTCAGATTTCAAGAGAATCTGAATTCTGAACATGGAGGGACATTTTATATAAAATAAAACATAATTTGAGAAAAAGAATATTTGTCTTTCCAGGTTGATGGGGACTTTGAGCTTTTTATTTTTGTTATTTTTTTTATTTTTGACTGAGCCAGAATGTGTATTACCAAGAAATGATACTGTTTTCCTTTTTTTTTTTTTTTTTTCTTCCCTGTTTCCTTTTTTCTGTTTTCTTTCATTTGGTTTTGTGTTTGTTTGTTTTGTTTTGTTTTTTTAAACACAGATTGGCAACAAATGCAAAGTGGAAAAACTTGAACCCTTTGGACAAGAAAAAATGAAAGCTGCTGCTTATTTCTGGCTTAATATGATCAGATTTTTTAAAAGCAAAAAGCTCATTTTATAACCTTTTGAATTATTTAACAAAAATTATGGAAATTTATAGGGGCAGAAAAAAGGATAAAACTTGTGCAGATGCAAAAAAACTGGAAACTGAAATGTAAGTGTTGAGCACAAGAAATACCAGCAGATGATAGAGGCAAGACCCTTTAAGTAAATGAAGTATTCTGTATTCTGTTATGCCTACCCAGCATCTGAAGTTTTTAAGACATCCAGGTGATGTAGACATTTTAATAGATTTCTACAACTAGAGATCTTTAGGGATGGTGAATCTGTATGTAGGAGCCTATGCAAATTTTGTACCACAGCAGAGTGGTTGAAATACTGACATTTGTTCGAGCTCTCACATTCTAGGCATAATTGCATCTAAGCTGTACTGACATTCACTTGCCCTGTTTCAACAGGGCAAAGAAAAAGAGCTGAAGCCTCTCTCCAGAGTGCACTCCTACATGTATACTGTGCATCACCTCATAAACCTCCACAGAAAGACTTAGGCTTATCTAACATCAGAAAGTTCCAATGCTAGAAATTCTCTGTTTATTATTTTCTTTTAATGTTACCTAAAGAAATACCTCATCATCATCCTGATACTGCCGTGTCTCCTTTAGTATTCCAGAAGAATGAGGGGGACACTGTCTTTCAGAAATGGAATCATGGGATTACTAGACTGTTAGCTTATTTCAAAATTCATTGGAGGTTTCAGTGGAACTGAATTAAGAAGTCTTCAAGCCTTCTCTGAATATCTTAAATGCTTATTTTTACTAAAAATTTTAATTGATGTCTTTCATCATAAAAGTTTGTAGACCTTTTTTGTTTCTATAGAATTGGAGTTAGACAACAATTAATTTCAAACTCCTTGAGTAAATATTGCATGGAAGAAGGAAAGAAAGAGAGCACTAGTAGAAATTTTAATGTAAGATTGAAAATGAATGGACGAGTGAATGCGCCATCTCTCAAGGACTTTTCTGACTTCCCCTTGCTATCTTCTTCTAGGATGAGGATTCATCTATTACCTAAGGTGTGATCAATTTTCTAACTTGAACGTTTATTTTATTGCAGAAAACAAGGCGGTTGGAGTCATGAAGCCAGGTCATGTATTTACAATTGAACCAATGATCTGTGAAGGTGAGCAGTTTGGCAAAAGCCAAAAATCACTAAACTAAACTGATTCTGCATAATACCTGAATAGAGTTTACTCCATGTTTATTATTAAGAAGTGATGAAATAGGAAGCTGGTCCTGTTCTGTACAGTTGATAGATTTCTTTCAGTTCTTTTGGGGGAACTAATATCTGGTATTTAAATTGTGAATTTTTGGCTGGTTTTACATTTTCAGGTGGTTGGCAAGATGAAACGTGGCCTGATGGTTGGACTGCAGTAACAAGAGATGGAAAGCGATCTGCTCAGTTTGAACACACTCTTCTGGTTACTGATACAGGCTGTGAGATCCTAACCCGACGAATGGATAGTACTCGTCCCCATTTCATGACCCAGTGATAGTCTAGACTGAGCAGGTGGATCTGAATGATACTTATTTGTCTCTGTACTATGCATTTTTTTAAAGAGTACAGAATAGAGAGGAGTTTCATCATTTGCTTTGTTCTTGCTGATTGTAGATAAGAGAGGAATTCATTGAAGAACTTGTCTGGTAAAGCAGAGAAGAATTTAAAGAATTTTCTGCTTTCCTCTTACCTACAACACTTGTGCTATATATATATTTTTTTCTTCCATTATCTCTTTTGCACCTTTCTTCCACTTAGACCTGTGGATGCTTCTTTTGCTGCCATATTAGCTAGAAAACCAGGTGGGTAACCTTTCCCACCTGGATTTGTTATTCTGGGATCCAGTTTTCTTTTCACTTCAGTGTGCCCTGTTTCTCTTGGTGTGTGAGCAGCACCTAAGATTTTATGTGTTTCTAGTTCCAAAGACCCATTCCTGCTTCTGCAGATGCTGTTCTAATGGGCTGGGCCTCATTTGTTTATCAGTTGAGAAACAGTTGAAGGGAGAAGGACGTGCATGTTGCAAGAATAGATGATCCTTACCTTTAATTCCGTTCCCATCTTTCTGCTGGTGATCTCTGTGGTAATTGTGACTGTAGGTGACACACGATATTAATGCAGGATTGACTTCTTTTGCTAGAGATTTCTAGAATGGCCTTCCTACAGGGAAAACTGCTAAATTCTGTCTTAACTGCAGCTCTCTGCAACAAGCCTCCTCTCTGTGGAGCAGTGTTTGCAGGCAGTCTCCTGCTCCAATAGCTTGGTGAAAATGATGCATCAGACGTAGCTAGAGAAAATAAAACAAGAACCAAAAAATCCCACAATTCATAGGATCCCTGTGTGGGTCAGCTGTGGGACATTTGTTACAGGTACGTCCACAGTAGCTGTGGGGGACTGGATATGCGAGACTTACACAGTGAGATGAGTACATATCTCAAAAGTCCAAGAATGAGAAGATGAAACATCAATGCTGTATTACTTCTTTTTTTTTAGTTCTGAAACAGCTGTTTCTCCCTCATCAAACAGTTGCGTGAGTTTCATGGCTGTGTAAAGTCTTAGAGGGGCATAGGAAAACTGATCTTTTCCCTCAGACTGTACAGTGGGCTATCTTAATTTTAGTACATATGCACTTTTTTCTTGTCTGTCTGTGGATTGTGATCAGCTGGCAACCGTCACCTTAAGGAGTCCACATTGAGCCTCTGTCTTCTCTGTATCCTTTCTTTTCCCCTGCTTACTTCTTTTCCACTATCTTTGGCGTCTTTGCTGAGGGAATTTATTTTTTCTTTTCTGAATTGTAATTAAATTTTTTTCCCCACTGCAGACTTAAAATCTTACATTGCTGTAATGCAAGAAACAGTTAAACCAATGCAGACATTAAATCATACAACTGTGGGCATGAAATAGACCTTTTACAAGGTATCTAGTGAATTTGTTGTCACTTTAGATCCAAGCATGAGGTACTGCGTGCCCTTGGCAATGCAGAATTTAGATGGGGGAAAGCGTTTGTGCTTCACAGAACTGGACTGACACAGATTCTACCAAATACCAAATTTACCAGAAACGTATTCTCTGCTCTGAGTGCCTCAGACCTCCATTGCTGTAAGAGTATCACTGCAATGTTTTCATTACCTTTATTATTATTTTTTTAATTATGCAGTAAAGTGACCTGAAATTATGCATAGAGTGTGTGTGTGTGTGTGTGTGTATGCGTGTGTACAGATTTTAACAAAACAGACTGTAGTACTCTGAGTGGAATTACCTGTGTTGAATGAAATGTAACATATTGAGAGGACTATCTTGGAGGTTTGCCCACCGTCTCACTCACGTGAATGGTTACAGTGGTCTTGCCTTTTCTATGTGTGTGCGCGTGTGTGATGGGGGGCCTCATTTTTGTTCTATAAAATAAAAATTGCAGCTGCTTTTAACAGAAATCACATTTTTCGTGATCCAAAACTAGAAATAGCATTTCTAGGTTTCTCCAGGTTTGCTTGCACTAGTGCAAGCCTACTAGTAGATGCATGCAGCCAGTTAAAAATCACACTTAAACCTGTGCATGTGTAACGTGGATACCTCTTTGTTGTTGCACAAATACAACCAAATTTAGCACCGCAAGTTTACACCACAGGTAATCTATGATGCTATGCATTTCTGTCTATAAATTGAAATTGCAGTAAGAAAACTGTTTCTACTGAGTTCATACTGTTGCAGTATTTTTAAACAAGTGAAAAGTTTGGACAGCATCTACACCTGTTCTTTGAACATGGGATAGGTAACACGTCAGCCTGGAGAACAGAATTATTTAATAAAAATGTTGTGAAAGACCTTTTTCACCTATCTAGCCATAGCTTTGCTTGAATGTTACATGTTGTGCTTATTGAATTTGGGAAATGATCTATTTTTTTTCTTACAGAAGTTGCTATCCATTACAAAATACAACACAACAAAAAACCTTGCATCAATTTTCTAATTGTTTTTTCTTTCCCAGAAATTCTTGCAAAAAATACAATTGTACAGTCTTCTCTTAAACAATCTTATTTTCCCTTTACTATCACTTCCAATTCAAGAATCATACAAGACAGTACTGAACGTGTTCATATTGTTTTTGAAAACCCACATGGATATTTGAGAAGATGTGATAGGTAATGTTCAATAAAAATAAGAGCATGAGAACATGAAACAGGTGACATTTTAGTGCTGCTGCAGCATTTTTGTACGCTGCTGTCACATATACACAGTTAACGTATGGTCATTTGGTGGAAAAGTTTTATTCATTGAAGTCCTTACAGTTGGCAAGACAGTTATAGTTCTATAGTACAGTACCTCAGTCACCCAGAATGGGGTATGACAAAGAGACTGTGTGTTAATGAGCCCCTCTCACATGAGGAACTTCAAAGACAATCCCTTTACTTAATAGCTTTGCAGGACAAAGTAGTCTGTAAACTCCAAGTAGGACATCAATTCTTCAGCCTGGGAGGAAGCTGGAAGTCTTAAACTCGATTCTTGTGTTGCTGAATGTCTTTCTTTGTCTTACCCTGGTGTCATAAGACTGGCTTTCCATAAACACAGTAAGCTACAGATTCTTGAGAGTGATAATATAATCCAAACAACATGCTTGTGTAGTCTTAGAAACCTAGAGGAACAACTGTTATAAATGCTTTAATTTTGTTGCATCAGTTAGGAAGATGAGGCTTGCTAAGATGCTAAGTGAATGCCATATTGATATAATCCTGTTGTTTCAGAGTGCCCCATTGGAAACTATTTATTAACAGTAAGGTTTTTTGTTGGTTTTTTTTTTTGTTTGTTTGTTTACTAAATTATCTAATTTTCAGCCAGTATTGAAGGAGCTTATAAGGTACTGGGAATCATCTTACTGCTATGTGGAAAGGCATGCTTTTCTGGTAGAAATTAAATTGTTTTTTCCTAGTTGCTTAAAATTCAATTCTTATGACATTTAACAGGAGTTAATTTATTTGTTGTTTAGTCAGTCTTTAATAAAGTTAGAAATGCAGCTACCTCAACTGTTTTCAGAATGCTTTCAGGATCTCTTTCCAGTAACAAATGGAAAAGATGTAATTGTCCCAGTTGTCCAGCAGTGTATGAGGGCAAGGCAATTACTAGAAGAAAAATGCCTCTTATCCCTAAGACGATTAATATTTACAGTCTGGTTTCTGAACAGTTGTTCTGACCAGCATCCCTTGGAGAGAAGAAGAAAAAAAAAAAAAAAGGAATTTTCTCTTAACAAGCATCCTTGGCTTTTAATGTACATAACCTTTTAAACTAGGTAGATTTTCTGCCTCTGCTTTGCAGTTTGTTTCGCTTGTTTTTCCAGATCTGCTGCACTGCTTCCAGGTTTCAATTCTACTAAGTTGTATCCGGTCAGATTACATCAGCTATAGTTTAAGAAACCCTACAATTTCAAATTAAAGCTCTTAAAACACAGCAACTCCAACAAAATAAAGAACCCTGATGCCTTCATTGGACCCAGCCCTTTACTGCTCCTGTGATTCCCTACTTCGATAGCATGATCCCACTTCTGACTGCTTAGAAATAACAAACACAAGCTGTATCTACCACTGTTGTTGGTTTTTGGTGGTTTTTTTGTTTGTTTGTTTGTTTTTTTGTAGTACTGGCTGCAAATCTGCAAATACTTCTTCAGTTGCCAGTAAGTTTAAGGAAATAGCAGAATTTTCTCTGTGCTACTGAAGTCTTGGAGGTAACACCATTAGGGCAAGTCAACAAAGTAGTTTTTTGCTATCAACTTTACAAAAATCCTGCCTTCAGCCGCTGTAATGAGCCAGATTGAAAATAACGCAGAATATAGACTCGACTTTCCAAGGAAACGTGAGTACATAGACATTTTTTAGGTCATTCATCCAACCAGTCTGCTTTCCTACTTGGCTTCACAGTAGAGCTTGGTAGCAGGTCCTTTGTAGTCCTTGAGCAGCCCCAAAAGCTTGCCAGGTGCTACAGTTTTTATTCATCTCTGTGCAGTTGCAGCACACTGATGCTGCTTCTCACCGTTATTCTTAGCAAACCAATGAATTCCCCCATCATTTTCTATTTAGTTCGAAAAATGCTCATCCATATACTGTAAAACCATCTAAGGAAAACAGTAAGATACAGCCATCAACGTCTTCATGATCAACAATTTCAACACTGTTTAGAAATATGCTTTTATTAGGTAAATTGAGTTAGGCACAATTACATTTGAGGAACAGATACAGAAGTTCCAAAACCAGTATTTGTTATTTATATAACACTACCCTGTGGTTACTGATTATTTTTATTTTCCCAGAAGAACAGGTCATTTAATATTTAGAACGCTCTTCCCAAAATCCCAGTGAGTTTTCAGTTGCAGGGTCCTACTCCTTGTCAGCAATCCCATTATAAAAGGACAGTTACATGGCTGGCCAACTGGAAGGTTCATGGCTGCTTCTAAAGCTTTAGAACTGTTCGAATGCTTAAAATGGAAAAGAAAAAAATAAGAGTTACAAATATGTCAGTTTTCAAGCATGCTATGACATACTCTCATTTAACTTCTATTTTTTCTAAGAATGAAATTATACCTCTAACAAATATTTATTAAAAAAAAACCTGCCTAAAAGTGTTGATAATGCTCATTATCCTTTATCTTTAGTCTGTTCCCAAACAAGATATACTCGGCAGGAAAGCTTTTCAAATAATGTGTGTCAGTTTTCATTAACTTGCCAAATTACCTATGAGGAAAACTAATGTTTACAGGCATTCTCCTTTTTGGCAACTTGGAGTATTTTAAGTAACTTACACTGCTTTTTTTTTTCCCCACCATCTGCAGTCAATTGCAGAACTTTGCAGTGTGAACAGTCCAAATTGCTGTTTATCTTACTAAAGGAAGAAGCCATTGTAAAAGCTGTCTGACCCTATTAACAAATACAAACTCACATTAGCATTCAACCCCAGTTCAAACCACAGAGAAAACACCTGAAGAAGTAGCCTATTAAAAGCTGACTCTTAAGTGACTCTTTCTGCTGGTAATCTATCTTAAGTAATTGATAAAAATAACTAAATAGTAGATTTCAGCATAACTGCTAAATTAGACTCATAGTTTAATAATTGTAAAAATGTATTTGGAAAAACTGTCTTTTGATCTCTGTTTTTCTAAGAAGGAATGTTTTGGCAGTAGATTTGGAAATACAAAGCTAAGAATAGCTTATCCTCTTTACCTGTGTATTTTCCTTATACGTTGCTTGCTTTTTTCTCTGCCTCTGATTTGGCATGTGTTTAGTAGCCCAGATAAAACATCTCTGTCTCAGAATGAATGTGCACAGTATATGCCCGACCCCTAAAGAAACATCTACACCTTTCAGTGTTACGAACATTACCTTTTTCCTCCATGCAGCAGATCAAAAGCCTCATTAATTTTGTCAAAAGGCAGGGTGTGAGTTACAAACTCATCTACTTTGATCTTTTTGGACATGTAGTCAGTCACCAGCTTTGGTACATTGTCAACGCTCTTCCAGCCTGAAAGACAGCAAATACACATTTGTTTTTGCCCTTTCCACCCACCTCTGAACAAAGAGGGAGGAAAACATAACAATCTTTGGGTGTTAACCAATAACCAATCTGTGGGTGTTTATCTGATAAATCTGAAAAGCAACAGAGGCTGCTGCTGTCTGTCCCTCCTGCTCTAGTCAGGTAGTGAATATGGAATGAAAGGAGAGTACAAACCTTTCATTAGTATTTCAAAACTCAACAGCCCTCACCTAGAAAATCTTGTACTAGGCTTCTCCATCAGCCTCTGAACAGACTTTTATAACCCAACTAAGTTCTGTATTACTTGGAAAAAGAGGTCGATAAGGAAATTCATCAAGTTTACTGGTAACTAAAATTTTGAACAGGTTTCTGTTGGTGGCGGTTATAAAACAGCTATAAAATCAAAAGTTCCCACTTTAGCCCAAAGATCTGCCTACTGACTAAGTGACACAAACACGTTTACGTGAATTCCCATCTCCACAAAGGTCATTTTACTACATCCCAACGTCTAGCTGATAAGAAAGCAGTTACACTACATCATTTCCCTTAGAACTTTATGGTTGTATGGCTATATTCTCTCTTTGAAATATGTGATATGCCATACCAATGTGTGTGCAGCCTGTTCGTAGGAGTATCAGATAAAGTACCCTCACATTTTGTAAACTAGTTTTATCCCCAAAGTAAAAGAGTTATTCACCTCCAAACGCAGTCCCTTTCCATGTGCGGCCGGTTACCAGCTGGAACGGCCGCGTTGAGATCTCCTGACCAGCAGCAGCTACTCCAACTATCACGCTGACCCCCCAGCCTTTGTGGCAGGCTTCCAAGGCAGCCCTCTTCACACATGGACAGGACGAAACAGAGCATGTATAGCTAACGTTTACACTGCTTAGACTGGCACAGGTTTCAATTCCCCTCTCCCTCAGTTAATGAACTGCCACATTAATAATTTAAGGAACAGTAAAAATACAGTGAAAGTTACATTAAGTCTCCCATTTGTTCAGATTCCTTATTCTGCTAACGATTCATTTTGCTCTTTTTTTTTTTTTTTTCTTGTCTGGCTTCCAGAAAAGTTACTGTGAACTCCATCTGGGAGCTGGGATAAATACACAGAGACCAGGTAGACCATGCAGCTTAGCAATCTTGCTGTCATTCCTGAAAACCTAGCTTTACACTCACTGTTTCTAAAGGTTAAATTAACTATCTCAGAAAGAAGAGAGACACTTAGCAGTCCTTGAGATTTTACTATTCGTGGTATAGTATATTTCATATTGCATTTGTTAATTAAAATGATTTCAAAGAGAAAATGTTTGCATAGTGTAAGAACACTATCTTAACCTAAGAAGTAGCATTTTCATTAGGGTTGGATATAAATTGTCCTTTTTAGTCATGGTAGTTACCATTACTATTTAAAAATAAACCAATGAATTACCATGGCATGTT